ATTGTGAGTGATTCTAGACAATAGTTAGATCACACAAATTACATGTGTATTTACTAGGTTAATAGTTTAGTGGTGTAGCGTGTGGCAGTTCTCCTGCCATACACTCTATCCATTTAATCAAATATGTTTGTTAGTAATATTATCAAATTACTCCCGATGACTCATCACTGAGCCAAAACCGGAGTCTCTCAAATCTGAGACCCATAGGCCACACTATATGAGTAACCCTAGGTCTCGGCCCTTCCCAGCCTCTGCTTATGGGTAACCCTAAACCTGACCCTTCCCCAGGTCCCAGGCTTAGGTTAATCGGATCGCAGGTCTAGGTTAGCCACCTAACCAACCACTATCACCCCTAGGGTTATACCCACAGGCAATCACAATACATATATATTATGCATTTATATAAACATATCGTTTCTCTCTTAGAGTACCCTCACCTGAACGTATTGTACTGTTATATTATTTAGGTGGAGCGCTTCACGAGATGGGCATACGTCTACACAGTCTCAGTCATCGGCTCAGTACAGCAGAACCCCACCGTCAGCAGTTTCTATTGGCTGCTAAAAATAGCACTCGCCAACTGTGGGAAGACCAATGTGTTTAATATGTGCACGCAGCAGTCGAACACTCCGTCGCAAGTTGCGATGGCACACACCGACGAACACGCATATAACTACACAGAAAACGTGGTACATACACACAGCGACACACACATCCATGCACGTAGTAATACACACACACACACACAAGGAATTTCACGGACAAGCGTTGGGGTACCAAACCGCACGGGTCATTCGAACCCATTGAAGCGCAATAGATGTGCGGCTGAGGGCAGCGACTCTGAGGAGAGCACCATGGATGAGGCAGAGGAGGGTGGGGTAGTTGAAGACGTGTATAGGGGTGGTACAAACACAGCAACAGCCACACATACACAGTATGGTGCGGATGTGGAGATGTATGATGGTGATGCTATGGACCGCACAGCGCATGTGACGGGTGTGACGGAGTATGCGAGCAATGCAGGTGATCAGTGGGAGAGTGAAGGCGAGGCTGGGATAGAGGGTGTGTGTGTGTGAGTGTGTGTGTGTGTTTATGTATGTATATGTATAGGGATAGGTATATATTTGTGTGTTTATGTGTTAGTATATGTAAGTGTGTGCATGTGAGTGTGAATGTGGTTGTTATGCATATGTCTATGTCCATGTCTGTATGGGTGTGTGCGAGTGTGTGTGTTAGATATGGGTACGTGTTATGTCTGAACGTGTGTTTTAGAGTGTATGTGTTAGCCGGTAAATGTTTATGTGTGTATGTGTGTGAGTGAGTGTATGTAATAGGCATATATGTATGTTTGTATGTGTGTGTGCTCAATATAGTTATAGGCGTATAGGTGTTTTTGTCAAGGTGGGGGTGGACGATTACTTCTGTGTCTTTTAGGTTAATATGTACTCTCGGTTGATCGGGGTACAATCCAGTGAGTTGGACACTTAGTGATACAGATACAATGGTACATACGTACAGACTGACTGTCTGAAGTGTGTAGGTATATATGTACTATAAATTAATGACAAATGGTCGCATATCTATGAACATGCTCATAAGAATATGGTTATATGTCTATATTGTTCAAATGGTATCACGGACTTAATATAATGTCATATTAATTTGCACCAATCTCAGAGGAATCTGACCAAACAGAGCCCGTCAATGAGACCGTAGCCAACGAAACCGAGCAGAATTCCGTGGTGATCCGTGACGTCACGGAGGGAACACGTGAAATGTGCACTGCTAACGATGCGGATGCACTGAAAAATGTGGTGTTGAAGTTCACAAAAGGAGGTTAGTTCTT